ATCAGTGGCCACTACTCGAATCGTCATTACATTTTCAACTTGCGGATAGAACTTCAGCAGTCCAGCTGCTGCCTGTAAATTAACAAGTATTAAGTAAATACAGCACGGAAACGGCCTATTTGATTTAGTCTCATGTTTCGAAGACGGTTTTAGAGCTTAGGAGTGTTCGATGAGAACACTGGAGTATTCATCCAGAATTAGAAGGGATGCCCGGTGCCTGCTCTCCCCACTGATCCATACCCGCAAACTCCGCGACAGTATCAGCAAGCCCAGGGCCAATCATTTCTTACTGCAATAGTCACGGCATGGCATTCAAGAACGAATGATGCGAATTGCCAGTTACTCGACCAATTTTTGACGGTTTTGTTTTTGATTCGAGTATTTGTCACTTCCATATGATTGATATGAATCCAAATTTACTTGATTTACACACGCACAGTAGCGCATTAGTTTTGCGTAGAAGTTGGCTCACCGTTAGAGTCCAGGTACTCGTAGAAAGAAACCGTTTTTGACCTACGGGAGTTCATCGTGATGGAAAATGCACTCGTCACCGGATGGTACACGTTTCTTCGTACACACCATGCCTTATGCGCCTTGAACAAATTCAAGTAAAGCATTCTTAAGTTTAACCGTTATAATAAGTATGCTTTCTGATTCAAGTAGCTGTTCGTATCTAATCATAAAATATGTAATCGATTAGTGAGTGTTGAGAGTATACGGTATATATCGAAAATGATGTTTAATTACTTACTACCTACTGACTGAACAGGACAAATTTCCCATTGCCCTTTGGTTCGCAGGCTTTACTTCATATCTTACTGCAATATTCTGCGCTGTTTGGTTTCTATAATGGATGCTTTATGAGCTGTTGTTATTCGATCCGTTTGATAAGGTCAAATGTACGGCTAGGTAAGATTCACATAATCATAATCATAAAACATAACACATAATGTACGCATTTTTGCAACACATAACGGAAGACAGACCTTGTGTGCACAGGTTCACCTAGATCAATTTTTTCTTAGCTACATGCTTACTATAAGCTTCCATAGCACAACATATAGTACTAATAAGTGGTAAATAACCTACTCGTATATCTTTCGGCAATTTCTGCCAGTACAGAGCAACAAAAATGGCTATATAAGTACTGCAACAACATCAAATTTTTGTACATGTCTTTATGTGTGTAATTATATCAACCACAAAAATTGTAATTCCCCTTTTTCGCTCGCTGCATGTTATGTTTCCTCACTTGAACTTTGAACTGATATGAAACGAATGTGATTAAATACAGCATAATGATAATGAGTACAGTTCAGTGTACACTGCTGTATGCTGGTTGCTTCGCATCGTCATTCGTCAGCTTCGCTCTGATCAACTATTGCCCTATTTCCGTGACAGAGCAAGAGAATGCTTATGTCGGTCAGACTTGCGCACACTCCAGTCTTCTCTAAAAAAAACTTGTCGCTGCTGCGGATCTGCTTTCCGATTTTTGCCTTTTCACTTCAAATATGCATGTGTACCATTTATGTAGCACGATGCTTTACCGATTTTTGCTTTAGTGTCTGCACAGTGCCGTACATGCTGTATGCTAACGCTAAGAAAAGGGCCATGGTTGTGCCAAGTGTTTGAAAGTTAAATTTTTTCCCAAGTTTTAACCCTTCGTTGCAACCGGCAACTAAGACACAGAATGGCTTATTTTCGACCATGCCGGCGTAACAAATACGAGAAGAACCTGGGCAACACCGTCCTGATAAATCACGATGATGGTGTATGGCATTTGGGATATGTTCAAGGCCTTAACCTGACCAAGGTTTTCATTAACTGGGATAGCTCGCAGATTGCGCCTTGCTGGGTCGATTCTAATCGCGTCTGGCAGCATGAATATTATTACGGATCGTCATCTAATGCCAAGGTTAACGTCGCTTTGCGGGAGGGTTATGATGCACCTCTCGTCTTCCGTCCGGCAAAAATTTTGGGCACATGCTTCGGGAAGGTTTTCTATGTTGCACTTGAACCAAACGGACTATACCATCACGACGAACCCACCGCCGCCCAGGTTGTTCACCTTTGGCAAGTCGCAGCGAAGCTGCCGCCTGATCAGCCGTCACTGCACGACCAGCGCTTCTATCATCCCTTTAACAGACTGGAAATACGCTCGAGTCTGCTGGACAATATCACGGTATTTTCTCAGCTGAGCGAGTTTAACATTTTGAAATTGATGGAACTTGCTCTGTGGGGAGCCGGATTTGTAAAGTCATACGAAGGGTTCGATCGATTTTTTGCTTCATACATGACGACTCGTCATGTATGAAAAACATAAACATTAAGAAACATGCAAAAGGTGAGGAGCATTTCAACAGAGAGAAGCATTACAAAATATTTTTAGTTTTTAAGAAAAGACAGATAATCTTCCATAGAACCGCAGCCGAAAACATCTTTTCCATTTTGCGTACCGCCTTCCGCTAGTACCTTGTTACCATCTTTGCGTGGTATATTCCACTGTAAAAGAAAAACTGTTTCAGCGAGATTGACAAAAGCCAAAAAACTTTGATTTCAAAAACCGTTAATGGCAAAGATTTCTCTGGTCTGAGAAACAGGGACAGTATATCTATATAACGGGTACCCGTTATATACTGTCCTTGGAAAAACCGGTTGATAAACGTGCACCTGAACTTTCAGCCTCTTTCTTTGCCCTTCAACCGCTCACCTACCACCTACGGTACTAAGCCGGATCAAGGGTCATCGATTTTGACTGATTTGATTTTTGTTTATCTGTTATACCTTATAGTGGCATTACCACGATTGTGTATTCATTAGTTGGTGCACTGTTCAATATGCAGCACCTCTCATTTTACCAGGTACCCCCGTGCACAAGTTCCCCATGGGAAGAGAGGTTTGCGGCAGAGAAAAAGATCTGTTTCCTCAACCTTTTGGCAAAGAAAAATTCACGTCGTGTCAATGCCGGAATGCCGATAAAGAATGTACGCAACTGTCTTGTCCATACAAACCGGCTTGTCTGCATCCTGCTATCCTTCCAGATATCGAGTGTCCAACTTGTCCCAGTAAGTGCCTATGGGCATCAGTTAATAAGCCATTTAAACGTTAATAAATGGCTTAGGCTATTTTGCCGCAGTAAGAACAATATGCGGCAATATAGCAGGTTGGCTATTTTGCCGCACACTGCGGCTCAGTAGCCATAGCCGGTTGATAAACGTGCACCTGAACTTTCAGCCTCTTTCTTTGCCCTTCAACCGCTCACCTACCACCTACGGTACTAAGCCGGATCAAGGGTCATCGATTTTGACTGATTTGATTTTTGTTTATCTGTTATACCTTATAGTGGCATTACCACGATTGTGTATTCATTAGTTGGTGCACTGTTCAATATGCAGCACCTCTCATTTTACCAGGTACCCCCGTGCCCGCAGTGCCAGCGGCAAGTTAGCTGGTTAACTATTTTGCCGCGCACAGTAGCCATAGGTTATATCATTCTAATTAAGCTGATGTTTTCTTATGGATGCTTGGCAATTTTTTGCAGCGATATCGCTCTTTGGCTAGCAGTTCTTGGAGCAAACAACTAATTTGAATATCAATAACCTAAGAATGAGATCTAGGAATATCATAAGAAGAACCTAAGAAACAAAAAAACAATAGAATTACCTAAGAAAAACTTCAGAATCGCCTAAGCGTAAGTCTAAGAATAACATAAGTACAACTTAAGGAAAACCTAAGAAAACTAAGAAACCTAAGAAATCCATCAAACATACTGCGGTAAAATAGCGAACCAGCTGAAAACCCGCAGTGTGCGGCAAAATAGCCAACTAGCTAACTGGCCGCTGATACTGCGGCAAAATAGCCACTCCGTTAATAAATACCAGTGATACATTAACCCTCTTACGAAACGTGAACGTACAGTGGCGTATAAGCTCGCATTTTTTTATATAGAAAATGGTGAATCGATTACGGGGAAATTTATACTGGAAATCCTAACAGAAATCCTACTGTATTTGGATATTCACTCTCAAGCTAAAGCAAAACGGTGAGGGTTTAGATACTTTACAGACCGCGCGCGGAGTGCTTTCCGGAAACATCTTGCAGCCACTCCAGATCGATTTTTTTTGTAAACTGTCTAGCAACGGCTTCTGCGCACGAAATTCTCCCGGTGGCCAAAGGGAGGGTTACTCGCGTTTTTTGTACAGTCTGTTCCTTAAAAAACACGCTACGTATAATCGGCTAGAATCACCGTATTAATTCATGACACATGGCATTCGGTGTTGCTAATTTTAAGCAGAGTTGCTTTATTAAAGTAGCTTCTGGATTCCAACTGAACTTTCACTTTTTGTAAGGTATGTGCTTACCGTACGGGTTTATTCCAAAAGTTACGAAATTTCAAGGAGTATATTAGAATGATGCCAACTGATCAGGGCAGATTTTCTCCCTCCAAATTCAATAAATTCTCATGTTTTAAAAAATGGTAGTTTACTATTGTAGTATGCTTAAAAATATATTTTTTCTGCCACCGTCAAGGGGGCGTGGCTAGATAACAACTAAAAAGTTTGCTTACTATCGCATACTGTGTAATGCAGTGCAGTATAAGTTACTCGTAATATTATTATTATGTTACAGTAACTTTCTCCTGCAGCACCGCGGACTTTTGCAGCTGTCGAGTTATGATGTAAAAGAGGCCCACGCGCGCCAGCTCGCACCGTTGCTGCCGGTGTGAACATTTTCGCAAATTTGTTATGAAGTACAGCACGTATCTGTTTATTAGCAGAAAAAGGTTTGCGCAAAGGTTTTTGTACAACTTATTGTTTATAGCACCCATCGATGAAAATTTTTCGAAAATGTGCACACAGGCAGCAGTGTGAACAAGGCAGCCGACGCACGTGGGCTTCTTTACATCATTGCTCGACAGCTGCAAAAGTCCACGGTGCTGCAGGAAAAAGTTAACATAATAATTACGAACTTGTAATGCACTGCAATGTTAGACAGTATGTGAATAATGTGATAGTACGCAAACTTTTAATTGTTGTCTGGCCACGCCCCCTGGACGATGGCAGATAAAAATATTTTAAGCATACTACAATAGTACAAGCCCGTCCGGATAATGAGCACGTAAAGGTACAGCTAACGCATATTAAGCGCGATGTTAGCGCTTAGCATGATGGCCACTGCACTACGTTTGCCACCATGCGTAAATGCGCTCCGCAGTTAGATTGTCCCTTACTGCACCGACCATTTTCTGACCACCTTCCGCCAGGCAACTACGATTATTCCCATTGAAATATATGGCGTGCTCCAGGCCACCCGCCAGCCAAACGCATGTTACGTGGTTCAACCCTATGGCGTGGCGTGGCGTAGTATCTTGTTTGGCGTAACACATGAATTTACATTTTTCGCTGTTCTCTATTGTGCTCATCATCCGGACGGGCTTGTACACTACCATTTTTCAAAACGTGAGAATATTTTGGGTTTGGAGGGGGAAAATGTGCCCTGGTGATTGTACCTGTGTGCGTACTGTGTTGCAGATGCGTATCTGTAGTTACAATGTGTACATGGGTGCACTGTTAGGCTTGATATCCATAATCATAGATTTTTCTTAGAGAATGAACATCCTTTTCCCACGGCACGAGAAAACGATTTCCCCTCGAAAAGGATAGCTGATGATAGCTCAAAAGTATTCCATGATAGCTCAAAAGCTGAAGCGGTCATAAGAAGAAAATAACTAAAATAATTCGCAGTTGTTTCTGGATGACACCTTAACCGATTCCAGATTGAATATTTAAGAGATTTTTAATATTACACACCTGGGGAAGCTGAATTGGTCAAACCATAATTTAAAACATAAAACCACGGTTCTGTCGTAAATCATTATGAAATTCCTGGTTTAGACTATAACTGAGAAATAAATGATTTTTGCAGTATGTGTGATATAACTTTTAACATGTGATACAGCACCTGTCATCTGTGGAACGAACTACTAACGCAATCTTCTCCATTGGCCTGCTTCACGGTGGACTTCCAGTGTGTCAGCACAGAGGCGTCAGGCCTCCGGGAACATGAGTGCTATCTTGCTAGTTACTTAGTGGATCGCCACGTCGGTAACCTAACCAAAGTTCTGGTTCTGGCTAATATGGACCGTCGTGGAGCAGTTCGAAGCACGATGCAGGCGGTGGCTTCTTTGCTGAAATTCAAAAGCATCCGTTTACCGATAATACAGATTAAGGACTGCGCTGTGACCTTTGAATTATATACTCTTGGTGGGCACCATAGACTGCAGAACCTTGACGTGCTAATGCCATCTTGCCGAAAGCTCCTTGTCAGCAATTACGCCATTCGATACCCTTTATGTGACTGCTGTAAGTCGAGGAAGTGCAACAATATCATGGTTATTTTATGTACCCGTAAAGAGAGCACTGTTCAGACAACTCTGATAAACTGTACATTAGGGAAAACAAGCGTACAGAATACATGCAATTAATTTTACTACAGTATGCATCATACAATACGATTATCGTATTGTATGATGCATACTGTATTACGATTCATACAGTATACAGTTTACCACATTATGATGGGCGTATGTGGTGCGGACTCATGGTTATTTTTTGCTAGTCAGGGTACTCACAAGCCGGTAATAATTATAATTCTTGCATTTGGGCGTAATCCCATGATCTGGGGAAAGATAACCGTGAACTGTGCACTTTTACTGTTTCCGTCCATCATACGCCGTCATCGCTACTGAGCTCACTGGTGTGCTTGAATTCGTAGCCTTTGTCGAAAACAGTCATAGTGCAAACTGCAGGTAAATTAATGTCTAGTACTAATTATTAAATTATTTAATGAAGTCTTACAGTGGCTTTATGTGTACATGTTGGACGGTTGGTAAACCACTGGACATGTTCCAGGCACTTTCCATCATATGGTCAACGAACAAGCCACACGACCGGAAGAATTTCCGCTGTTGATTCCAAAGATGTTGTTTGACGGCTCCGCAGTGCTTGTGAAAAAACCGGCAGCCCCTTCCACGAGGGGTTTTGGTGCGCGATTTCCATCTTCCGACGGATATTCCGACGATTTGGAGGGCGCAGTGAGAAGTTTTGGCCATCACGTAGACAACGAGCTGCCGTTGGCGGAGTGGGATATGGATCAACTGCGACAACAACACACTGCAATGGTTGACACGTGGTCCTATCCCTCAGACTGGCAGGGTTTTCGGAAATTTTTACAATGGTCAGAGATGTACTTTTTGCAAAAGAAACTGATAAATCTCGGAAAGTAACGTAAATTTTCTGGTGTTATGCTAGATCAGAAATTTAGATTAAATTTTAATTCTCACGTTTCGAAGATATTGACAGCAAGTTTATACAGCTCTTGAAAGGTCACCCGTTCCATTATACGTAGTTAATCACTTAATGTGCTTAATGTAGCAGTGTGTTTTTTCAGGCACACATTTGATGCAAAGCAGACGTCGACTAGCTTTTGGGAGAATCTGGACCTGCGCGATTTCGATAGCCTTCCCTTGAGTCGATATATTCTGCATTTCCTGCAACAGCACAGAGATCTGTCCCTTGGTCAACTGCGATGCTGAGTTTTATGAAGAGAAAAACAACAACGCGTGTTGGTATTATTACGAAATCAACTTGCTAATTACAGATTGTGTTCAACACTTCTTTCGTTTTGGTAACATAATTTAATATTGTGGATGAAATCAAACAGTATTAATCTACAATTTTAAGGCAGTCGTTGCACTGATGTGCAACCAAAGTGGACTTCTTCTACTTACAATTAGCAGTACCATGTTCATCAGATTTCTTCCGTTAACTGAATTGACATGCAGTAATGATGGTTTTTACGTTGTGGTATATTCTTTACTGGCTTGCCAATCAGTTTAAACAAGCCTTTGTAAGATTTTTTTCTGGATTAAGGTCTTTAATAAGTTTCACACGTAAGTAAAAAACTGAGTACTATAGCAGAATGCAACACTTCATCTATGCTAATCTGGTCGGGGATAGTGCCCATCACGCAAATCACGTTTCCCCGTTGCATCTGAATAGATAACTGTTGTTTAAAAAACTCTTTCGGCTGTTTCTGGCCTGTGGCAGCGGCAATGCCGTTTACAACCTTCTCCACCAGGTTTTTAATTCCGGGCTCCATGGTCCATAAATTTCAAAGGCTGCAGCAGGCAAGTGCTAACGTAGTTGCAGCCAGTCTTGTTTTGGCAATTTTGCTCTCCGCGTGCTCGGCTGTTCCTCCAACGTTTACATAGGCGCGGTCGATATACAATGATGCAGCGAGTGTGTCCACACAAGTTACATCCACAGCCAGTGGTTTTCCACGCTCCCATGGAGAAAGAGTAATTACTGCACATCTGGCCTTTTGTGATCTTTCACAAACAGGCCTTTCGTCCCCTTCCTGGATGGAAAATCTGCCGTCTTCAGGGCACGAGTAAACTCACCACTAATACCGTTATGCTGCGGCAGTCTTCCGGCTGACCGTTTGCAACACAACCCGTGCGGGCCTAGGTCGTCGACCATGGCCCGCCACAAACGCACACGTGAGGGGTAACGACGGGTACTCCTATGCGCAGTGCAACATTCATACGGAAAGCGTTACCGAGACATGCTGCCGGTAACGCATGGATCCACACAGCGGATTCAGGGGCTGATACGGCCTTCAGGTGAGCGACTTCCTCTTTAGTGACCCGAAGTGCTGCCAACCTCGATAATGCCTACAGGGTCATGAGGGTATCCCAGGCTTTTTGAACGTGGCGTAACGCCTCGGTCGGAAGTTCTTCCGTGTTGGCCAGTATTTTCCTGGCGCGCGTTGGTGAGGTCACTTCCGTTGCTGTCAGCGTCGGGCAAAGCCGGGAGACCACAGGGCGCAACGAGGAAGCCGATGCCAAGTAGGCGGCGGAGGATGCAAGTTTGCTCTGCCAGCTTTGTAAGATTTTTCTGTCCATCTTCAACGAATGTTACGAGTATTTTACCAGTTTGAAATAAGTAAGCCACAGTAAGGATTGAATTCACGGAGAAGCGCATTGAGACTGTAATACTTGTTCAGATTCGCTTATAGTCTGGACGGTGTTATAAACTATCGGAGTGATAGCAACACAGTTACTCGTATCATCAGTGGTAATAAGGAAACGCACAAAAACTTAGCAGTCAGCACGAATGCCTTCAAATGCGGGCGAAAAGCGTCGGCTGCGAAAGTTTGACAATTTAAATAAGTAATAGCGCATGTAATGGATGACAGATCCCCGGTTCCCACAGCAGCTGTGAGAATTATCGTTTGTGGGCCGATTGACTCCCCAATTTGGGGAGAATTGTGTAAAAGCAGCTAAGCTGCTGCTCGTGCGGCTGCGCATGTGTCCGCTCCGGAACAAACCGCAGGCTAGTAGGGCCAAAATGTTCAAGCTTGTCGGTCGCCTATGATTTTGCTGTAGCTGCTACGTGAAGCTTCCTGTGCGATTGACACCGACAATCACGAACTCGCAAATTCAGAACGTGGAGACCCATATTTTCAGTTTTGAGTTCCATTCTTGCTGCATGCAGATGTTTTGACGTGACTGCTGTTTTGATTTGACTTATACTAGGAAAGTGCACTCGCTTCTGGCGGGCACTGCATGACCGAAGCGTAGCGGTAAATTTATACGATTATGAAGTATGCAAAGATAAATCATGCAACCGGTGAGGTTATTCCCATACATATAAATATTCCGCTGTTCTCGGAACATGGCAAAAATTTCGGATGAGTCATTTTTGCCGGGTTTATTGAAAAATTTCTCCAAAGTCTACTTCGAGGAAAATTATTGCTGTCTCAGTTACGGCAACTGCCGGAGGATGCATGAGTTCATCATCTGTAGACGTTTTCTGTACAATATTTAATGCAGTTTTCAAATTTCATCTTTGACGAATCGGGTATCTTCTAGTCATGTTTGTTTTACCCGGTTACCATTCGAGTAGATGACGGTAACTTTTCGACGAAATACTTGCTCATTTTCTACATTAAGTGATTGTTAAATGCGGTTTGATAGCTTGTCCATGCCGGTATTGCGCTTGTCCCACTGAGCAGTTGTTACCGTACTTCCGGGCTTTGTATTCAAATTCATGGAGCGGTTCAAGCATTCAGAGTTATTTTAGCAGCAAATTGTGTAATGGTAGAAGGAAACCGCCGTATAAGTAACCAAAAAAGCACTCATGGTTGTCGCAAGCCACAAGTATAAACTGACTTGCGCCTTTTACGTTTTCGAGTAAGGTGGTGGTGACCGATGAGTAAATGCAATCGTTTACGTATGGACCGGTATGGTGTGTAAAAGATAGGAACGCAAAACCTAGAATTATATCAAAGAAGTATATCTCTGAAACGACAGTAGGCAACACCGACGCTCGTGGCGTTCACCGACGGACACCGCGGTCTGCAAGCGCCTTGAGTATGCCTGTATGCTCGCGTGGGTGCATTTGATAGTAGGGAGGTCGCGCATGTGTGCATTAGGTAGCGGTGACCGACAGACACCACAGTTTGCAAACGCCTTGAGTATATACGGCCAGCGCGCATGTGCGCATTCGGTAGTAGGAAGGCCGCGCATGGGAGCATTAGGTGGCGGTGACCGACAGAAACCACAGTTTGCAAGCGCCTTGAGCATATACAGCCAGCGCGCATGTGTGAATTCGATAGTAGGAAGGCCGCGCATGTGAGCATTAGGTGGCGGCGACCGACAGACACCACAGTTTGCAAGCGCCTTGAGTATATACGGCCAGCGCGCATGTGTGCATTCGGTAGTAGGAAGGCCGCGCATGTGAGCATTAGGTGGCGGTGACCGACAGAAACCACAGTTTGCAAGCCCCTTGAGTATATACGGCCAGCGCGCATGTGTGCATTCGGTAGTAGGAAGGCCGCGCATGTGAGCATTAGGTGGCGGTGACCGACAGAAACCACAGTTTGCAAGCCCGTTGAGTATATACGGCCAGCGCGCATGTGTGCATTTGATAGTAGGAAGGCCGCGCATGTGAGCATTAGGTGGCGGTGACCGACAGAAACCACAGTTTTCAAGCGCCTTGAGTATATACGGCCAGCGCGCATGTGTGCATTCGGTAGTAGGAAGGCCGCGCATGTGAGCATTAGGTGGCGGTGACCGACAGAAACCACAGTTTGCAAGCCCCTTGAGTATATACGGCCAGCGCGCATGTGTGCATTTGATAGTAGGAAGGCCGCGCATGTGAGCATTAGGTGGCGGTGACCGACAGACACCACAGTTTGCAAGCGCCTTGAGTATATACGGCCAGCGCGCATGTGTGCATTTGATAGTGCGAAGGCCGCGCATGTGTGCATTAGGTGGCGGTGACCGACAGACACCACATTTTTCATGAACGCTGAACATAGAGGACCTTCGCTACGCTTCGGTCGATTAAAAAAATAGATATAAATTTTAGGGTTTTTTGGCAAATCCATCCTCAAAATTCAAATGGATACAGTTTGGTATTCCGATGACGAGTTTACTGTTGCAGGGAATGCTGTATTGACAACCGCAAATTGCGATATCGCATTCAAACAGCAGGGCTCCCGCAGCCGTTCACTGTCATCTTTCTTCCTCTCCGGATTGTGAAGCAGTATTGCCCGAAGTTATTCCGTGGATGCCTGGCCGAGAAGAAGTCCAATTCATAGTGATGAAGGAGAAAAGCGTCAGTCGCATTGATCTGCTGGGACTGCAGATTCTGGGGTATATTTATGTGTGGGTAGAAACATCGCCAACACGAACGCGATCTCGCTTTATTTTGTGGGCCATTTAGGTACAGCGAAGAGTACCTCATCCTACCGGACGCATTCGAGGAGCTTGGATATAAGATCGTCCGCAATATGGGATGCAAGGCAGTACGCGACTTCGCTTCGTAAGTTAATTACCAACAGCAGGACCAGGTACAAAACAGGGTTTTGCATAGCGAAAGCCTGTACGGCATTTGCAACGATGTGTCTGGTGTACTGAGTTCTAAGCAATATTGCCCTAATTAAACAACTTTTGGAAACTGAGCGAACAGCAGCGGGCTGCGTGTCTTGCTCTTAGTCTTACTCGAACGATGTTTTAGCTTCAGAAAAAAGGTTCAGCAGTCGGAAATGCGAGCTCGCAGAAGAAGGCCCAGAAGCAACTGTCAGCGGATCTCCAGAATTTCGTTAAACGAAATCGTTTTAGACGGTAAGAAATTTTGAAATTTTTTACAACTCATTTTGCAAATTTTTTATTTTAAAAACGACAGTGCACATCCTTCTATTGGTTACTATTCAGGTATTTTGATGTAAATTTTAGATTTCTGTTTATGTTCCCCTCTAAAGTCTTTGCAATTTATATTTAAAAACAGCAGATACTCACTCGTATGAAGTAGTTAAAGGGCCAGACGATCTCGATCATGCTCATAAGAATGCGGCTGCACCTGCGGCAAGCGACTTCGCTCATGGGTATTGTTTGAAAATTGTCACGGTGAAATTTAATACTTGATTTTTGAACAATTTCAGCAAATACAATGGTTCCATCGGCGTCCAATGCAGGTGCGGAAAAGCGACCAAGTAAGTACTCATTTTTAAGCGGATCGCGTTTGT